TTGCCACTCACTGAACTTTTCTGAATTTCCCTGACGCGTTTTTATATGCTCCTCAATACTCACAGTTCCAGCTAGATTTGTGTTATAAAAGAAAGAATAAGCATATGATCAAAAAAATGTTATGGGGAGAAGAAACACAAAACAAAAGTTCTTGCGCAGAAGGGGGAACTTGCATTCACGGAAAATTGCAAAAAGTTATCCAGGAAAGGAAGATGGTAGAAAAAAAGGATGGAGTACAACAGAGTGAGACAACAAAACCATTCATGAGATGAAATAGGAAAAGAGAGATGAATGCAGTAGAGAGTAAGTAGAATAGAAAGTAAAAGAAAGTTGAACTTAATGGTTGAGTTTCCACAGCCCTCTGGAGTAAGAACACCAAAGATCAACACACTCTGAGTGAAAACAGTACCAAATGCTTGTCTTTTATTCTGAAGCTGTGTGCCTTGGTTCTAGACCCCACAGCCAGCAGTAACATCCTTTTTCCTCATAAGATAATCACATAATCGAACTGCAGTATGGTGTACATCACTGCACTCCCACAGCAGCAAGTATATCCTTCTTTAGGCAAAAGGACCGGAAAGAACAGCATACACTACTCCAAGTGCAGTTTCTCCAGTATTCTATACATCTGAAGCTAGACTTCTTTCTCTTGTACTCAACTCCTCTTGCTATAAAGCTAACATACTGTTTGACTTCCAAATTGCTTGCTACACCTGCATGCTAGCTTTCAGCTTTCGGGTCCTTTTGAACATTATCACTTTCCAATATCTTACTATTTAATCAATACTCGGCACATTTTTTTCCTCCAAAGTGGTTAACCTCTCACTTATCCATATTATATTCCATATGCCACATTCTTCTGCAGTCACTCAACCCGTCCAAATTCCATTCAGCTTCTTTGCATCCTCCTCATAACCAGTGTTCCCATCAAGTTTTGGATTATCTGAAAACTTAGAAATATTTCAATGGTTCCCCACATTGATGTAGATATTGTACAGCTGGAGCCTAAGCACTGATCCTGTGATATCTCACTGGTCACAGCCTGCCAACTTCAGAATAACTCATTTATTTTCTACTCTCTGTTTTCTGCCTGTTAACCAATTTTCTAAGTATCTGTATTATGGGTTTCGGAACAAGGAGCCAGGATGGGAAATTAAGTGAAAACACAGTTGTTTGGATCAGCAAGTCTGTAAAATATTTTAAACTGTGAAGCCGGTCTGAAGAAGGCCTTTTTGTGTGTGTGTTAAGGCTGTGAACGTGACTCCCTCATTCAAGCACTGGATATTGATAAGGGTGTTTGAATTAATATTTCAAAACAACTGCCTATATTCATGGAAGCAAGGTCTTGGGACAGGCCCCAGGCATTGGTAATCCGGCAGAAGCTGTTGGACTGAACAGTGATGTAATTAAAAACAAATGAAATGGACCAAAACGAGGTAATGCCTTTGCCGCACACAGCCATAACAAGAGTCAATGTGTAGATAGAGAATTTGAAACTGACCTCAAAAATGCAGTGTATAGGGTGGTGTTGTCAGCCATGCTGAAGACACAGTCAGTGACCTCTTGGCAGATTAATCACCCTCATCAGATCTGTCCACTGCTAAGGGCTGCCAAGCAACCAGTGTCATTGTGAGCATACACTATCGCTTAGAGGTCTAATAAAGATTCACTGCATTTAATGTGACAGTACCTAATCTGTTGGGTGCAAATGATATCCAGGGTAAAGGCAGGAAATGTCCTCCTGAGGTTGACATTGAAGAGTTAATAAAAGGTAGTAAAGAAGTGGTGAATGTAATGAATGAATATTCTGCCTTTGTTTTCATTCTCAAGTTTATAATAAACATTTCAGTTATACCTGTAAAACTGATGGAAGAGGAAATTGGTGAAATTATAATCACTAGGGAAGTGATAATGAGCAAACTGATGGATTAGTTGGTTGATAAGTCTTTGGGTCCCGACAAACTTTGTCCTAGGGTCTTAAAACACGTAGCTTATGAGGCAATAGTTGATTTTGTGTTAATTTTCCAATATTCATTTGTTTTCAGAAAGGTTTCATTGTAGTGGAAAATCACAAATATGACTTCTCTCTTCAAGAAAGGAGGTAGAAAACCAAAAACCATTGATTGATACCTGTCATGAGGAAACTGCTAAAATTGTTCATTAAAGAGAGTAAAATTGGGCTTTGGAAAAACTCAAAGCAATCAGGAAGAGTCGGCATGGTTGTGTTAAAAGAAAATTATGTTTAACTAATTTATTAAAGCTCTTTGAAGGAGAAACATGTACCATTGCTAAAGGAGAACCTGTAAATTAACAATTCTTGGATTTCCTAGAAAGCATTTGATAACGTGCCATATCAAAGGTTTTGTAACAAGTACAAGTTCATCTTGTAGGAGATGACATATTCACATGGATAGAAGATTGGGTTACTGACAGGAAACATGTACAAGTATGCATAAATTGACCTTTTTCAGCTTGGCAGGATGTGACAAGTAGTGACCCAAGGAATCTGTCCCACAACTTTTTACTATTTATGTCAATAGCTTAGATGAAGGCAAGATGAAGATGCAGGTGACATAAAAGCAGGTCAGAAAGTATGTTATGAAGATGACATAACATTGTTGCAGACCAGTATAGATTGGTTAAGTGTGTGGATAAAAATATGGCAGATAGCATAACGTGAAGTTGCTCACTTTGGCATGAAGAATTATAAAATGGTTTACTACTTAAATGGAGAGTCATTGCAGAATTCTGAGACGCAGAGGAATCTGGTTCTAGTGCATGAGTCACATAAAGTTAGTTTGCAGGTAGAGCACATGATCAGAACAGCTAATATGATGTTATTCGTTATTATGAGAGGAAATGAACATAAAAGTAAAGATGTTGCGTTTTCGTAACACAGGCTATTGCATCTTGAATACTATATAGGATTTTGGTCTCATTATTTAAGTAAGGGTGGCAATGCTTTGAAGCAGCTCAGTGAAGAGATACTCGATTGACACTTGGAACAAGCAACATTATAAATAAAGCAACAAACAACATTATAACTAAAGGTTGAACAGTTTCGCCTTGTTTGTACCCAGAGTTTAGAAGAGTGAGGAGTGATTGACTAAAGTTTAAAAGATCCTGAATGGTCCTGACAAGGTGAACTTGGAAACAAAGTTTCCTCTTGTGGTGTGCCCAGAATTAGGAGACACCCTTCTGTACCTCAGAGTACTTTTATTTAAGAATATTTAAGGAAATGTTAGATTCATTTGCTTATCTACCTCAAATATAAAGGTTATTGGGGGTAGATGGAAATGTGAAATATGGAACAAAAACAGCTATGATTTTCATAAGGGGCAGAGTGGGCTTAAAATGTTGAATAGCCTACCACTGCCTCTAATTTGTTATGTTTGCACATGCAAGAATCTTTAAACCAGGAAAGGGTTTCACAAAGTCTGATGAGAGGTTATTCTTAGGGCATAGGACCTCAAAGTTTAGGAAGCAGTAAGAACACTGTGAGGAACAAAGACCCTTCATGTAGATTCAACGTACCACACAACATTTTCTGGGTGGTAGTACATTGTCAAGTCGAAACCTTACTGACCACACTCCTTCACTTTTTCACTTCACACTTTAACAGAAGACAAATTTATTCAGATAGTGACCTGTTGGTATTGTCTACACAAGCATATCTTCCACTGTGTGACCTCTCACTATGTTTTGAGCTGCACACCCATGCTCTAATCGTGTTACCACATCCACTCCTCAAACCCCTCATGTCATTCCACCGTTCCTCCTGAGGCTTCCTGCAGCCCTGCCATCTCAAGCCTCACGTTACCACCCTCCCCTGGTCTTTGTTCCATCCCACTTCCTTAAGCCACCCACACCATTCCCCAGTCTTGCCTTGCCCAAATCCCCTGACCTCATACTAAATCCTCTTCCTCCCCCTCAACTCTTGTTACCGCCTCCCCACATCTTGTGCTTCTTCACTCGGTCCAGGCTTGCCACGCAATGAGCTGAAGGCATTTCCTCTGACAAGAACGCTCTGCATTGCTGCTATTAAATACAGTGGGTCCAGTATGGCTGTACGGAAAGACTGGACTTCGAATGCGAACGCGTCTCGGCCATTCGTCTTCATTTGGTCCCGCTGGTTCGACCTTTCCCGTTAATGTACAAACACACGATATGACAACCTCTGCAGAATGGAACTGCGGCAGTCCTCACCAATCATTCTTTATTTTTCCTCCCCGCTTCGCCGTACAGGGATCGTGCCTTCGTGATTGACAGTTGTAATGGAACTAATCCTCTAGCCCGTTTTCTCACTCTGTTAGTGGAGGGAACAAATTGCTACCAATACCACTTAGGTCAGCTAAAGCGACTGTCCACACGCAGCCTGTGCGGTCAGAACCACGTAAAGTAAAAGGCATGGTAACATTATTTACTCAACTTGTCCTGGACCTCTTCCAGTATTTTGCAGGTATCCAATAGCAGGTTAACAGTTCATGCTTGGTTTAGTGGCCCATTACATTGAACGCAAGACTTTGCCAAAACAATGCTTCAATGCATTCAATATCTCTTCGTTGCAAGTTAAGCAAATCAGCAGAATACCGTTGCAATTGGCCCTTTGACAGAACTGCTTCACTTATGACTGTTTCATCCATTTTTAATTTATCCAGTCAACACGTGTAATTTAGCACATGCAATCTTTGATTATAACAGCCTGTGTCGTTATTTTTACAAGAGGTTACACGTAACTTGGAGTAAAAATTGCTGCATTCTTCAAACGTTTGGACAAGTCCACATGGCAACTATTAAACATACGATGCAATGATTTTACATCAAAGTCAAACAGTAATCCGCCAGTGCGTTGTGAAAATGCATTTGCGAATTCCTGGTTTACTAGATTAGGTTAACATACATCAATAAAACAGTGCGTTTAGGATCTACTCAGGAGAACGCGCCTCAAAATTTCACTGCTTTTTTTTGGTAAGAAAAGCGAACAAACGGGGTTGTCTTACCTATATGAATGATGGAATCACTAGCTACACTGTCGGAATATAAGATCCAAGAGATGGACACAATCAGAGCGGCGAAAACTTCCATTTCCTTTAATCAGTCAACTGGAGACGGCAGTAACATTCAATATCCGCTGCTTACAACGCATAACGTAAACACAAAACCTTGCGATCCAATTCCCCCCGACCCCCGATTAAATTAAAACATCTGGGTCGAAACTGGTGATTCGTTGCTACTGGTGGGAAATACGTTTCTAGAACTTTACGGAGTCTTTTTTGATGAAAAAAAGGCAACGTGTCTCCCGAATCCACTCTTCAAGAGATTGGTTGAAAGCACAAAGTGACTACAAGGTAAACTATAGCTATGAGATTGCAGGATTCAACAGGAACTGGTACTTCCCAGTCGCCCGTGGTCATGATCTTGCAAAGATCTTTATTTCACCGTCGGTTATAGTTACCGATTCAGTGTTTGTCAGAAGCAGGAAACCCATGCCAGCCAAATCAAAAGCGAAAGGCTGAGAAAACAAAGCAGTGAAATAGTACAATCTCCAACTGCATAGCGTACGCGGAGCCCTTTCCTTTCTCTGGTGCTTGCGTTGTACTCTGGTTTCAGTTTATGTTGGGAAGTCTCTTCCCTGAGAGAAGGCAGCGGAGGTACAAGTCACCTCGATCTCCTGAATTAATTGTATTGGAACAAAGCTTTGAAAGCGGTCAGAAACATGACACGCCAGATAAATCGGGTCCACGCAGCCACTAGCGGCAATAACTGGGAATACGTTCAATTTGCGTAAATAGCAAAACAGACGTTATGCAGCATTCTCTGAAGCAGGACATGCAGAAATATCTGTTCATCGGAAACTCGACACGGATTGCTAGCACCATTCAAAGCGCGCACGATGAAGAAAGATAAAACCCCAAAACGATCCGTTCGTGCGTACGTACACTCATCTCCTGAAGTCTTCTGATTAATGCGTTTTGATGTATCCTCCTACTTGGATCGAGTTGCGGTTGAAATTGAAAGACTCGGAAATGGGAACAGCGGCACCGAGCTAGTGCCATGTAACTGTGGCCGTCCCGACGTGATGGGGGGACGCAGCTTATTTCAAACCAAACAACAAACTTGACAACTATATGGACAATTTCTGTGGCACTAAAGTAATGGGGATAGGAGCAATTGGCTATTTAGTTCTGGTTTCCCATGACGTCATTGGAAAGCACCGTTTTATTAGATGTCAGCTCCTCTCTCTACAATATGTGGATGCAGTTGGTAGGTGCGAAATATAATTACAAAAGTAGATAGATCTGGTAACTCAGGAACATATCGAATTTAACTGGCTTTTTTCTTCCTTCCTGGTAGCAACATTCGGTGAAAAACATTTAAGCTGCCCTTAAATAGCGCCAAGCTGTTAACAATCAACTTTGTTTCCATTTCTAAACAAAAACCGAAAGAACCGCGAATGCTCTACATCAAAAACAAAACAAAATAGAAATTGCTGGGAAAAACTCAGCAGGTGAAACTGTTCTGAGGAAGGGTCACTCGACCCGAATTGTTAACTCTGATTTCACTCCACGGATGCTGCCAGAACTGTTGAGTTTTTTTTTCAACAATTTCTGGGTTTTTTTGTTTTTGTTTTTGTTTCCATTTCTGGCAGTGCAAAAATGACCAGCAGGTGTCCATGTCCACTCATACCCTACGGGGACTGTTTTACAATCTGTCCGATTTATTTCACAATTCCAGTAGGTCGGAGAAAGGGATACCTTGTCATTCATTCAGGGTGCGTGCATCTTGAAGAATGTGTTTGTATTGCTGCTTGTTTAGCTCCAGCCAAGAAACTCGTAACTACATGCGGCCTTCTTTATTTAATACCATTAACTTGCACTCTCTCAGTTTGGTCACAAAAAAAAACTGGGATCCATGATTCTGTAGCTCAGATTTACAAGCGTAAATCTTTCTATAAATCACACAAAAATGCACCAATGTGAAATATTGAGAAATTGAGGAGAGCAAAAATCAAATCCGCAGGGCGATACTACAGCTGAAAAAAAGCAAGGTGTTTGATATGGTGATGAATTGATTTTGACAGCCGTATTTATGAGATAAAAGGGTTGGGGATAAAGATCTAAACACAGGAAACATGAAAATGACCAAGGGAACTGAGAAATTCTAGTGTTCTTGGATGGTGGAAGTAATTAGAGTAGCAGACTATGCAATGAGAATGACGACAGTAACAAGGAGAGGAGAGGGAGCATGTGACATTGTCATTTGGAACGAACAAAATGAGACGTTTTAAAGAAGCACCGACTATTTTTATGAAGCAAAATTAAAAAAAAAACAATAGAGAGAAGTTTGGAACTTAAGCCGCAAGCTTGATATTCTAGCCTGATTTTTTTTTGTCTATATACAATGCTTGATGAAGCAATTGTTAAATGGCGTGGTATAACTGTATTGTTTACATTAATGACCCATCTTCCACCATTTTTACCCTGAGCATGACCTGCCTGTTTTAGCTAAGAGATGAATTGTAATGTGCAATATCATATGCTATGATAGTTGGAATGTAAAGCAAATTGGGCAGAATGTACCCTGTTACAATTTATACTGACAAAGACCAATCTGCTGGTGAGCGTTTTTCTTCCAGGATCTCCAACCCTAACAGACTCCAAACGATAGTCCGATTAGCTATAGATTCCAGAGATAGCCGGAACTGCAGATGCTGGAGAATGTGAGATAACAAGGTGCAGAGTTGGATGAACACAGTAGGCCAAGCAGCATGCTCCTCTGATGCTGCTTGGCCTGCTGTGTTCATCCAGCTCTGCACCTTGTTAGCTATAGATTCCTGACCCCCACCAGTTAGCAAACTGCATGAGAATGCCAACGCACAGCCTGCAGCTTACAGTCAGCACATAAGTGAAACTATAGACCTCAAAGAAGCTAGGGTCATCCTATAGTAACAATGAACAAGTGATGGTTATATAAATTGGTTCACTGCCAATGGAGTGTTCCTAAAATTAGAATTGTCTCAAATGTTATGGTAAGTTATTTTGACAGTCTTGAATCTGCATTCTATTTCAGTGATAGTAGGAACTTGTCCTTTTTAATATAAATAGAACTTTAAATTGTCTTGGAGTTTGCTATCATAGTAACAATGAGTTTTTTTTTTCAGCACTTGCTGTTACTGCAAGGTGAATCTGGCAGCCACCTCTCCTGACTACAACTGCACAGTTAAATGCAGAATCACTGTCAAAGACATCCTATTTTTTCACATGGTATGCTGCTGCAGTCCTGAACTTGACACTGAAATTCCTGTAAAGGCTTGAACCTGAGGGTACTCATTGAGTTAGTCCACACTAAAAGTGGTTGGAAAAGTTGAGGTTGGTACAATTAGAAACAGTGAGTTCTTCAAAGTTTAAGAAAGAACATTCCTTATGAACAGTGCCTCTATGATTGAAAATGGAACATGCAACTCAGGAGTGCTTACCTTCAAAAGAAAGTTAATGTTGTCGATCAAAATTGCTCTGTTTTGTTTACTTTTTCTGTGTGCCTCTCTCATCTCTCTTCCATAACCCATCAAATCTCTCAACATTTGATTTGCCTACATCACTTAAATCTGATTTATAATTCTTGCTTTACAATTTTAGTTTGGGTTCGATATGGCTCAGGAAGGATTCTCCAGTCTGATTGGAGAGCCTCACCATTGCTTGCCCTATCCAGAGACACCCCAGATCTCCTGCAGAGGGCACCAACTGGAACAGACAGCAGATTAGTGAGAATTTCCACTGACAAATCGAGAACCAAAATGCAAAAGTTGTCACTGAGCTCAACAGCAAAAGCTGTTGGCTTGCTGCTAAGACCAAAATCTTATTTACAACTATCTTCTCAGGCCCAAAACAGAACAACAAATGTAGTTATAATAGCTGTAACTCCAGAAAATCTATGCAGCCATTTTTGTTCATGTTAAAAATATACAGCAATGTCTCCCCTCTGAAAGTCAATAAGAATGGATCAGAAAGAATTACTATGATAGGGTAATTTGAAATGACCCACTTTGTGTTAATTACAATATATTTAAAATTTCCTTAATTCCAACACTTGTAACGTTAAAATGACCTAGCCTTTGTGTTCCTCCAATATGACATAAAATGCACTTTTTGAAATGTGTATTTCATGTTGGTAAACAGTGAAAAGCTGTTAATTTAAGTCAAGATTACAAAAAATAAGTCTTTTAAAAATAAAATATTAGCTGATGGCATTTCATGTTAGATTTTTAAGCCATTCACTGAAAGTGAGAATAAATCCATCCCAATTCTTATGTTTTGCAGGTACAAGACGATTTTTGTATTGGTCTAATTTATATTTGTTGCATTTTCTTCCCATGCTTTCTCTCATGTATTTTGCTTTATAAAGGAATGTAGTAGAGAATTTTGATCCCTCTCAATATAGTGTGCACCTCTTATTTTCTTGCTGCTGTGTGGGTGAGAGAAAACAATGGTGCTGAATCTAATTCGGAGTTTACGTATGTTTGTCAGATAATCCCATTGTCAGTATATGTAAGGTTTCCTAGGAAATTGGGAAAGATAAAAAAATTTGGGGAATCCAACCATAATCAACTGACAATCAATTGACAATTGTCTGCTATTACTAGAAAAAATGTCAACATCCTCTATTTCTTCTAAAAAATGAGCTTAAGTATTGAAAGATACATGATTAGCACTAATCCAAAGAAGAAAATGTGAGTATCATTTGTAGGATGATTTTAACATGTGAATGCATTGGATAAAATTCAGAAGTGATTTTCAAGAATATTTCCAGTACTGAGAAACTTCAATTATGAGGATAGATTGTAGAAGTTGGGACTGTTCTCTTTGGTGAGAAAAAGGCCAAGGAGATTTAATTAAATTTTTTCAAAATCATGAACAGGGCGTATAGAATAGACTGGGAGAAGCAGTTCCTACTTGCTAAAAAAGAATAAGAGTGAGAGGCCATAGATTTAAAGTGATGTGCAAAAGAAGCAAGGGTGATGTGGGAAAAGAAAATCTTTTTCACTCAATGTTGTTAGTGTGTGGCATGCACTGCCTGGAAGTATAGTG